TGATAGTTAGCTGCAGCCTCCTGGAATATCCAGACTAACTGGGGTTCCATTTCTCAACCTTTCTAGTGCCACAGGTTCGTCAGAGCGATGATCATTCCCCAGGTTACCACCGGCGACAGTTTTATTAAATGTTTCCTTATAGCATAACATAACTTACTACTTTTGCAGTGTCTAATACGTGGAAGCCGGAGCCACTGATTGCCTCACCCTTGGCACCTGTTGTCCATGTGAATAGGCTAAGGTACCAAGTGACTGAACACTGCAAAGGGCTTGTAGTCACTGATGCTTCTAGTCTAAAAGGAGACTGCAAAGGAGTGTGTCCCTGAGTCCCTTAGGAGCCAGGCTGCTGCAAGCTGGGCCACTCTGCATTGGCACCATCCGGGCCCCACACTCTCTTCAGTCGCTGTGGCTGGCAAAGGGACACTGAATGATGCTCCAGGTGGGATTTTGATTGCTTGGCTCAGAAGTGGCACATGTCCCTTCTGCTCGTGGCTCATCCTAACAGCAAGAGATTGACACAGGCAGCAGGGTAGATACCATGCTTTTGTTTGGTCAGCCCGCTGGGAGACAGGCCGAAGCCTTTCTTTACGAGAGAGGGCAGGGGCTGGGATGGGGGAGGCAGTGAAAGTGGTGGGAAGTGGTCAGAGTCTGGATGTATACATCTTGAAGGAAAACTCAAGAGAGCTTTGCTGATGTCGTATCTGACTCCTGCGTTTTCCCTTTTCACTATCTCCCCTCTGTGCTCTGTCTGTGTGGTTTCTTTGCCAGCCTGCTTTATGCTTTTATCTCGTTTTTTCCTAGGGCCTGGAAAGTGGATGCTCAGTACTCATCTATCTAGTGATGGAACAATTTAGCCGCTTATATTTTATTTCACAAAATCCACACTATTTTTTAATAGCAATTACCAATTGCTGCAGGAAAGTTAAAAATAAATCTTGATTGATTATCATGGTAATGATATGTATCAATTATGTATTAATGCTGTGGACTGCAGAAAAGAACGTTAGGAATAAAAGTGCCTTGTGACCACCTGATACGGTAAAGTAATGGCCATTTTTTAAAAGACGGTCTTTCTCTGTTGCCCAGCTGGAGTGCAAAGACACAAACAGAGGTCCCTGTAGGCTCAAATTCCTAGGCCCAAGGAATCCCCCACCTCCGCCTCCTGAGGACTAGGAAGACTTCAGGTGTACCCCCATACCCTGCTGATTATTGAATTTTTTTGTAGAGATGGGGTCTCACTATGTTTCTCAGGCTAGTCTCTAACTCTTGGCCTCAAACAGTACTCCCGCTTCAGACTTCCATAGTGCTGGTATTACAGGCGTGAGCCACTACACCTAGCCAAGAAATTGCTTTTTTTTTTTTTTATTCTGGTATATTTTTTCAATCATTTTTTTCTCTTTTTACTTCTGTTCCCTTCATAGAACAGCTTAAAGAAAATCTGCTGCTTATACATCCAATGTTAAAACTTATATTTCTTAATTGTATCTAGGGGGTCTTTCAGCAATGAACCTGTTTTTATAATGTAAACTGAATGAAAAGCTTGAATAAAGAAAAATGCCTAGTCTAATAATAAAAAAAAAAAAAACCCTTACATCTTTTACTGTAATATCATTCTGCTTTTAGAGCTCCTGGCTATCCCAGGAAAATTAACTTAAGATTGTGCATTTTTATACTCTGTATTCTTAAATGTTAGTTATTTTGGAATATTTAGTTATTTCCAGGAATCATTTAAAATAGAAAAATTCTTTCTGATGACACTGTGGTGATGAGGTCAAACAATTTAAACTCTTGAAAAAATGTGTTTGCCTCTCATGACCAACAGCGAGGTTTATGAAAGTGTAGACTTCAGTGTGGGCACAGACTTGGCAATGCTCAGGACACAGACGTACATAGAGAGGTGGATCATGCACTGAAATGTCGGGACAACGGACTTGGCAGGGGACTGACTGTGGAGGCTGAAGGAACAGATGAGTCCGGTTGACTCCTTGTATCTTGGTATTAAAACAAGAGTAGGAATTTACCTCACAAAGAAGAGAGAAGGGAACATTTCATTCAGAAAAGGCGTAAGGACACCCAGGAGTACCAAAAAGTCTGTGTAGGTTACAGTTATACAGTGAGGCTAGACTAGGGTTAGCTTGGGGCCAGAATGTGCAAGTGTTTGAGTTCCATGCCAAGGAATTTGGGGACTTTATAAAAAAGGTTTTCCTAAAAGGGAATTATAAGACAAATTTGTTAGGGAGGAGAAACAACTAGCAGGAGAATGGCCTATGTATTTTATCAGTTGGTCAAATTAAACTTCAGCTTTAGTTTACAGAGTGCTCAACCGTGGGCAAGGCAGCGTGCTGATTATTTCACACATTAACTCCTTTAATTTCTGAAAATGGCATTGTTCACTAGGCAGCAGTTTTTACACATTGCAGATGATCTTGGAGCACTTTATCAAGCGTCCTAAATATGAAACCCAGCTTTTTTGC